AGGATGACTCCTTATCCTATTCTTATTTTTGTGAAGTCCATTAAGCAGGTTACTAGAGAAAGTGAGTCATAATCAAGATTCTTATTTGCAAGTGTCACTTCGTCTGTGTTGTGATATTTGATTCTTGAATATACTTCCTGCTTCTTTCCTTTCCACTCACCTTATTTGCTGCCTTTTTCGTTTTTACTCTCCAACTTTTCCACGTTACTCTGGACCAGTCCCTCTGTCCGTCTGTCCTTTTCTAATCCCTTTTATAAACCATAAGGGCTCTGGCCATGAGAACCAAACTTCACCATGACAACCACAAATTCAGGCATGTCCCAACAACTTCTCCACTTTGTGTGTGTGTGTGTGTGTGTGTGTGTGTGTGCTAGTGTGTGTAGCCCAGCTGTTGAACAGATGGAATGCTTGCTATGCAGTAGATGATAATAGTGTGGAATCTGAGGTCTATGCCCCTCTCTACCTCTATTTGCCTCTTTCCTCTCCTCTCTCACTTCTGAACCCACTCCTTCCCTTCTGGTCTTTCTCTGATTTCCACACCTCTCCCTGCTACAGATTGAGTGTCCATCGCTTTGCTTTGTTCTCTCTGATTAGAGGCTTCTAAAGATGGGTATCATAGCTCACTTTGTTCCTTTTGGGCGACACACCACACGCACCCTGTGGCCCAGTACTGTGTGGAGTGGGGGCTGAGTGAGCGGCCGTTGCCACATTTTTCACATTTTTTTTCTCCGGGCCTTAAAGGTCTTTTTCTGTCCCAGTGCAGACAGACTGTGTCTACGAGCCACAGGCCGTCATGCAGGAGGAATGCAATCTCCTCAATGTCAAAGTGACTCACACTTTATTGAAACGCTCTTTGCAAGTGACATAACTAATTTTGAAGTCTCTGGATGTGTAACATTTAAACATTTAGGAAAATGCTGTAAACATGGAGGGAGAAAGCCGGTACAATTTAGAGCGCAAAGACAGGAATGAAGAGAGTCAAGCTTACTCTTTGCTTTTAAGTCGACTTCAATATATTTAAGAAAGAAACATCCAGTCATGAAGCTTAGAACTGCTTAGACTAATCTGAGGTTTTGTTAGTCAGAATAAAATGATGAGACTAACCAAGAATTTAGGCCATTTCCACCAGGTGGGAATTCTGGTGGTCACTTTCTTAGCGTGACTGTCTTCTCTCCTACGTTTATGACTTAACAGACCTTTTAAGCTAAAATAGTTTCCTGTTTATTACATCAATTTACTCCAGGTCTCCATCGTTCCTAGTAGTTTGCAGTTGCTGTTGTGCCAGAAAGACATGTTGCACCATGAGAAGAAGGTATGCGAGTGGTTATTAATCTCCCTAGGAGGCATATTGCCAGCATCTGGAAGAAACTGTCAATGCCTTTTGTCTGCTTCACAGGCAAAAATGATGCAATTAATGATTCAACTGTTTCTTTGTTTTTTACTATTCTTATTAATAAAGGGGGAAAATATTCAGATTGGACCAAAAACAAACAAACAAACAAAAGAAATCCAGACGATGATCACAGTTAGTTATTTTAATAACATACCTACATTATCATTGCTTCTGTAGAATGTCTCATACCACTACAGAGCGCTGTTATAACAAAATAAAAATATGTCATACACTATATACTCCTGTTATATTTTTGTAACTTTTAGGAAAAGCCAACCTGGATTTGTGAGTGAGTCATTACTTTATTTATCCGGCTGTTGAGATCAGTGGTGTGCATCTGCTCTGCACCTACTGATGACGTCAGTAAAGTTTCTGTAATCCTTTCCTGACATCATCCTAATCCTTTTTCCCTCTTTCAACTTTCATCCCCCCTTTGTCCTCCTCTCCGTTGATCCCTGGCTTGCTCTTTGTCTCTCAATTTCCTTGTGTTTTTATACCTAATCTCTTACCCAGACTCATCTTTCCCATCCTTTCCCCTCTCTTTGCACTCTGTCTTTTAGTGTCTCTCTTTCTTCCTATAAAATCTGCCCGTCGCCTGGTTCCC